AAAATAAATCGATATTATTAATTCATAAAATATATGTTTTATTTAAAAATTAGTTTATTTAAATTCTTAAAAATAGAAATTGGAAAGTGATGTTGACATGGCTTGCAACGCTAATTGCAACAATTATAATTGACAATCTTACGTGAAAGTAAAAGTGAAATACAATTTAAACTGAAAGTCGTATTGCCATACGTATGGGGATGCTCTTAAGAGTCTATCCACTTTTTTTTTTGTTTAACCACTTTTTATCTTTTTTTTATTAATCTGAATATCCAACCCGTTATGCGAGCCGATTAATCACAAGGAGACCACATGCTTTGTAGGTAGCCTATATTCATCGCATTTGAACCTCCATAAACACAAGAGTATTTTTATTCCTCCTTAAATTTGACTTTTTATCTTTATACTTGTCTTGGGAGGTATCATAACCCTAATCCTTACATTAACATTTTATAAATATTTGTTGTCATTCCGTTAATATTTATATTTTCGGGCAACAATTTCAGTGTTAATTTATTTACATTTTTGTTAATATTATGAGTTAGACAACGCTATACGTTGTAGATCATCTCGTATACTATAATATAAATAAAATCAAACAAATAATTGAAAACCGAAGATAATTGCTTCCAATAGATTATTATCTTTGCTATGTTTTAAAATAAATGTCTACATTACTATTTTAATTTGTCTCAAAATAAGTTTTATTCAAAGATAAAAATCTATTGTCTTATTTTACACTTGTTACGAGATGGATAAAAAAAATATAATATACTTAAGGACAAAATCATTTTTTTTATTAATTACAAATATAATTATATATTTCTAAGATCGTATTGACAATTATTTTGGGACAAAAAGAATAATATTTATAGATCATATATATGATGGAGTATTCAACGTTTATAGTTATTAAAACTAGGAGAAGTTTGGTGAAGAAAAAACTAGGAAAAATCGAGAACATCTACAACAGTTATGTTAAAATAGATAAAAGTGAGATTTTAGCATTTTTATTGCTCCAATAGCTATGTTGTCTTCAATTCTAAAATAGAGAAAATGGAAGAGAGATTGTAAAAATCTCTAAATTTAGAGAAATTTCTAAAACTTTATACAAGAGAGAGAGAAACAGCATTTGAATCATATCCAACCAATTAAACTTATTGAAATCAGATGTATAATATTTTATTAAATATATTAAGTATTTTATTAATATAGTTAATGTTTAGAATTGTAAAAATAGAATAACAGTTGAATTTTTCTTTTTTTGAATTTAGAATTTTCATATTTTATTATAATTTTTTTTGAACATAGCTCTAAATGTGATCCCTTGGTTGACAAGCAAAAAAGAAAAGTCTAATGGGCATGGGTGTGCTACGATAATCATAATTAAATTGCAACCTTGTTGTCGTGTTGCTCATTTTTCATTTGCTCATCCTTCACGCCAAACCTCCTTTTCTTTTGTATTTATCATATCAAATAAAAACTATATCCCAATTATTAAACCTCAAACAATCATGCATCTTTATCTTTTTATTTATGGTTTTTATTTCATCATAATACAAATCGAAACTTATAGATCATTTTATCTTTTTTGATCTATAATAACGGTTTAAGACGACAACGATGCTACAAACCTCATGGCAGTATATGATGACGATGTAGTCTCTCATTATCGGTAGTGGGCATACATCATTTTCGAATCTGTAGTGAGTCAATTATGTTTGGTATTCGGATTATTTTATTACCTCTTTTCGACTCCCAATTAGCTTAATTCGTCTTTATTACCTCTTTTTTGATGTATGTGTGTTGTTTCTTTATGTAGTCTTAATTTGGACAATACTGTTTGGGAAGCAGGACTTGTTTTTTCAAGATGTTTGTAGTCTCAATTTTGAATATCATTGATATCATAATCATTACAAATTCGACTTGTAATTAATCATTACAAATTCGACTGAAATGAAGAGAGTGTCGATGTCGTTTGTGCGAGATCCAAGACTGGGTCACTGTAGTATCTTTGGATGCAAGCAACACTCATCGACCATGCATCAACAACGTGATTAAAATAAATATATAATTAGGATTGGTTTCACGTAAGATTAATCATTTTTTGTATGATTGTGAGATATATTGTGGATGTTTAGGTTGTGTTTTTTGGTAAAGTTTGTTGTGTTTTTGTGTGGAAGATTAGTATTTTTATGAAGGTTTGGCATTCTGTTGTGAAAGTTTGTCGAGATCAAAAATCTCATCTAAGAGTTCTAAAGTGATCTCATAGGTCTCATGAAAATAAGTTGATTCAAATGA